TAGGTATTGGCTGTTTCTGTAGAATTCATTCAAAATTACTGAGCTGGTTATTTAGTGTCTGTTTTAGTTTGATAACTATGTATAAGAAATTTAGACAATGTAATGGTGTTGTTAATTGTTTAATGTTGAAAATAGAATATGGAACTAGATATTTCGGTTCATTTGTGCTTTAGCTTGGTTGCTGTGTCACTTTCATGTATTATAGATCTCATTTGATTCATTCGATTTTTTATTTTGTTGACATATTTGTTTGTTTTTAAAGTTATTAAGATTATAGCACAATGTTGACTGTTGTACCCCTATTTTTGACATTTTTACCTATTATGTCTGTCACACATTGATGCCAATATAATGGAATTTTATGCGAGTTTCATACAATTAAGAGGTTAAGCTAGCTATAAAACCAGATTTAATCCACCATTTTCTACATAAAGAAATGCGTGTACCAAGTCAGGAATATGACAGTTGTTTTCCATTCGTTTGATGTGTTTGAGCTTTTGACTTTGCCATTTTATAAGGGACTTTCCGTTTTGAATTTTCCTGGGAGTTCGGTATTTTTGTTATTTTGATTTTTACATCTAGGCTTAAAGCAATAATTTAGGAAAATAAATCCATTGTCATAACTACTGTTCAAGAATCATACGAAATGTTTGATTTTAATGTTTGAGCACTGAAAAATCACAATTCTCGTCATTATTTCTAGTTGTCCTACAATTTTTCTATGAATATGTTCTAGGGACACAGTTATTCTCCCTTGGTTTGTTTGGTCTACAAATATAGTCCCTATCGTGGACAGTGTATAACTTGCAAACTTATTTCTGTATATTTTATACATAAAATATTACGTAGAGGGATCAATTTACATGTAAAAAATTGTGGGTCATGAACTTTAAGGTAAAATATTGATTTGGTCATGTTGGTCTAGTTAAAAACGGTAAAATATTACAGTATGTCTGAAGCTGTCAAACTGATTATTGAACTCCTTAACATAAATCTGTCCATATTTAGAGTTAGAGCTGATGACAATTTCTATAATTTTCATATAATTTGTCACAAAAGTGGTATTCGACACTGAAAAATGAGATAGAACAGGTACTATTTTTTTTAAATCTATGTTTATTTTCTAAAAGAAAGGAACTACAAAATAACTGTGTTATCCAGTCAAAATAACAAAAATGATTAATAATATAGCTTCTTGAATATTTTCTTTTATGAAAAAATGAAAATCTTGTCATTCATATAAAGGTTGATAATCTGTAAATGTAACTATGTTTGTTTATCTTACTTTTTCCACCTCTCTCAAGCATGTCAACATCTTCTCTGTGATTTAACATGATCATAGAATAACATGTGTATGTCTGTTTACATTCACCAAGACCTCCGGTCAGTTCAGTTCCCAATATATTACCTCCAAATCTACCGAACTAGAAAAAAAATATTATACAAATTGATTGCCACTTACTCTCTTCTATATTTTGTAAATAATGTGAATTTATGAGAACTTTATAACATTATCATACTTGATAATACTACAAACTATGATATATAAAATTGAGAATGGAAATGGGGAATGTAACAAAGAGACAACAACCCGACCAAAGAGCAGAAAACAGCCGAATGCCACAATTGGGTCTTCAACACAGCGAGAAAATCCTGCACCTGGAGGCGAGCTTCAGCTGGCCCCTTAACAAAAATGTGTACTAGTTCAGTGAAAATGGACGTCATACTATCCTCCAATACCTATATTTGAACTAAAAATCATACAAGACTAACAAAGGCCAGAGGCTCCTGACTTTGGACCGGCGCAAAAAAACGGCAGAGTTAAACAAGTTTTGTGAGATCTCAACCCTCCACCTATACCTCTAGCCAATGTAGAAAAACAAACACACAGCAATACGCACAGTAAAACTCAGTTTAAAAGAAGTCCGAGTCCGATGTCAAAATAGGTAACAAAAGAAACTAAGAAAAATGATAATGGTACATAAATTAACAAATGACTATTAGCAGTTACTGACATGCCAGCTGCAGACCTCAATTATACCGATTGAAAGATTATGTCTTCGTCATATCAAAATGAAGCACAATCTCTCTTTGGGGGTTTAGTATCATACCATCATTAAATATGTGAGAAGAACATACCTCGTATCATGCCAACAACTGGTTTAAAAATAAATGTGTTCATTTCCGTTGCAAAGACCCTTATGAGTGAATCAATGTTTATACCAAAACATGCTATCTTTAATGACCTGACAACAGTATCGTAACTATTTCCCTTCTGAATAAGTCTGTTTAAATGTTTGGTGAATGCCGACATTTTTGTGTTTTGTAAAGAATATTACCATAATAGATTGGTTGTGAAATATTTGAACGTATAAGATGTCTGCATATTGATTTATATTTACGAATGATGTACTTGTACCGATGATAAAATTAAGTAAATGTTTTAACTAGGTTGTGATATCGAAAACCCTGGTGTAATAATTTTTCAGTATTACAGAGATTTCTTTCGTTAAAATCAAATACTTTATTACATACACGAGCGAATCGAACAAGTTTAGATATATAAACACCGTAAGATGGTGACAAGGGAACGTCGCCATCTAAAAATGGATAGTTAACAATAGGAAATGAAAAATCATCTCTTTTATCATAAATTTTGGTATTAAGCTTCCCATTAAAGATGTAGATATCAAGATCCAGGAAAGGGCCGTGTTCATTGTTAGTATTAGCTTTATTTAAAGCCAGTTCGGCAGGATAAATCTTTTTAGTGTACATACTGAAGTCGTCATTATAGAGAGCCAATATATCATCCAAATATCTAAAAGTGTAATTAAATTTTTATATCAGATGTTGTTTCGATGGGTCTTTGCTGATTTTAGACAACATGTATTATTGTCAAGTTAATGAAAAATGATTAACCATACATGTTGAATATAATAGCTTACATCCACTTTATTTTTACTTTGGTGGATAGTTGTCTCATTATTTTATATTTATCAATCAAGGTAATGACTTTTCATATTTTGCTGTGGTTTTTGAATTCTGTTAGCAAAATTTTTATTCATCTTCTCTCTGGATTTGGTGGGTAATTTACTTGCATTTCACTTTTGTATAGTTAGTTTTATAAAAATATTTGCACGTTTCAAATTTTCCCCATGTCAACATGTTTGAAGGTTTTTCTACAATATATTGATAGTCAGGATGACAAGATGCTGTCCTAGTACATGTATTATCATGATTATCCAGTTGTCAATATCAGTAATGGGTCTATACTAGGGATGTCAACTCTGTGAAGAGTTAGTTATGAAGTACTTCTTGATTTTATCAAACCATACCGGAATTGTTTTTTTACAATATTGGAACACAATACACATTTAATGCTTTATGGGTTGTTGTCTAATGGACATCAACCCCTCTGCATTATAACCTATTAATATAAACCATAATTAGCAGCAATTTTTTAATTGTACTTTTAAGTACATTAAGTAAAAGCAATTCATTTAATCTAATTCATAGTTTGGTAAACACACATATATGAATATAAATTATTACCATTACTACACAGTCAAACTGGTTAAGCAACGTTTACATTGTGTAATCGTAAAGTAGCCCTATTTACATAGGCATGATATTGAGGCATCACTGGTGTGTTCTGACTGAAAATTAGCTTTGTGGAAAGAAAGATACAATGTTTTAACAGGAAACCAATAAGTCTAGTTTCATTTAGGTATTCGAAAGTCAGAAATAACGAACGATACTAGAGCACTCGAGTACATGTTGACATCCTTAGTTTATACAACCAGGTTGAATTGTACCAGCCAATATCTCAAAAGGTCTGTCAATGTAAACATCTTATTCAAAAAGATTTCAGCGATAGAAATTGCATGAAAATAATTTCCTGACTATTGCTGTTAATTGCTTTAACTTTATAGCTTGTTGTTCGGTGTGCGCCAAGGCTCTGTGTTGATGACCGTACTTTGACCTATAATTGTTTACTTTTTACACATTGTGACTTTGATGTAGAGTTGTCTCATTGGCACTCATACCACATCTTCCTGTATCTCTTTAACATGTTGTTTGACTCTGACAACTATTGAAATTTTACAGCACATTTAATGTATGCCATTTTTTTCAATTTCAAAGCAAGTTTTCTGTTTAAAACAAGTCTAACACTGACATACAGTTCTCTCAAGAGTAAATGATTGATAGAACATCAAAGGTAAAGCTAACTTTTATTTTGTAAAGTTTTGATCATGAAAATATCGTATTCCCCATTTGGAACAGTCTAGGATTAGGTTGATTTTTGGTACATATAAACAAATCTTGCTTAATTCTATTGGTACAGACGCCTTCCAGATATCTAGGATATGGGTTTAAAACTGTGTAGATTACTTTCTTATCATGTAAGCTGGCAGGTATTGTAGTTAGACTATAAACCACTGAAAACTAATGGACTAAGAAATAATTGTCTAAATGTCATTGTATTGACGTTAACATTGAACTTATATTTTGTGGGGTTTTTTTGAATGTTTTTTTTTTTTTTTTTTTGAGTTGCTGACAACACATCGTTCTTCTTTCTGTTCTATGTTTTGTTTACCCCACATCTCTTTCTATTTACATTTACAATGCTTTATTTTGTAGCAAATCAAATTGGTTGTGAAGACCAGTAACCATTAATTAAACCTACATTGTATCTACAAAAATTGATGTTCTCGAATCCATGAAGACACAAATATTATGAATAAATTATTCACACGTCTCAATATCATGCTCCTAATAAACTTCTAGATTTTTGTCATTGTGGGTCATGATGGCCATGATAAAAACCGGACTTTTATATTCATGTATATATATACAATATTCTTCATTTATATAAAATCCCATGATAACCCTTGATATATAAGAGCACTCAAACCCTGCTGTCAGGTTGATGTGGGCATTGGAGATTGAAATGAAATTTGCCTATACAAAGCATCTGCTAATCTCATTTTGATACATACATCCATATGTACATCCTCAGCTTCTTTTTTCTCTGGTCTTTTTGGTTCTTGATAACCAACTGGAGGTGCAAAATCAACCTGTAAAGACATTGGAACAACAAAAATATGATGTTATCAACACCAATAGTTGATTTTTTTATAGATATATATATATATAAATATATCAATCATGTGTATATTATTTTCCTGTGTTATTTTTACGGTATTCATCTTCCAGTTATTTCTTTTACATACTGCATGTATTGAGCCATTAACCAATATTCTGTTTTCCAAATTAAGCTATCTTGATGATTGTATCTTGTTTGTAAAGTAGGGGCCTTGGTGGCCGAGTGGTCTAACTAGTCGAACTACTGTATTAGAAGCCAGTCAACACTGAGGTTGTGAGTTCGAATTCCGCACGGGGTAGTTGCACTCGACACCAATCTTAATTGACTAGGATTGTCAGTTTTCCTACCGAAGGTCCGGCTTCCTCCACCAATAAAAACTGACCGCCACGAAATAGCACAATAGTGTTGAAAGTGGCGTTAAACACCAATCAATCAATCAATCAATGTTTGTAAAGTTGCCTATTGTCAGTTGATTTGGTATTGTATTTTCCCTGTGAATATCAACAAGGAAAACAATATATACATGAAAACATGTTGAATAAAAATAACAAGTGTTGCATGAAATAACCCTTTACCAGTCTGTTTGACTCTGACAACTATTGAATTTTTACAGCACATTTAATTTCTGCCATTTTTCAATTTAAAAGCAAGTTTATTGTTTAAAACAAGTTAAACACTGATATACAGTTCTGTCAAGAATAAATGATTGATAAAAAATAAAGGTAATTTTTATTTTGTAACGTTTTGATCATGAAAGTATCTTATTCGCCATTTTAAACAGTCTAGGATAAGATTGATTTTTGACACTTTGAAACAAAGTATTGCTTAATGCTATTGCTATCAACGCCACCAAGCAATCTATGATAAGGGTTTAAATTTGTGTAGTTTGTTTCTTACTATGTAAGCTTGCAGGTATTGCAGTTAGACTACATTCCACTTAAAACCAATGGATTAAGAAATAATTGTCTCAATGTCACTATATTGACTTTGAAATTGAACTTATATTTTGTGTTTTTTTTTTTGTTTTGTTGAGTTGCTGACAACACTTCGTCCTACTTTCTGTTCTGATTATTGTCTATCCTACATCTCTTTCTATTTACATTGTCAATGTTTCATATTGTAGCAAAATAAATTGGTTGTCAAGACTAGTAACCATTGATTGAATCAATATACAAAAAATGATGCCCTCGAATCTAAATATTTTTACAGTATCTGTGGTATATAATGTAACTGATATGTTAACTTACATTCAAATCACATTCTATAACAGATATAGCATCATCAGGTTTGGTTTCAAGTACACATAGTTCATACTCCTGGAATAAACCATGAACTTTAATCATCTGTTAATATAGAAATACACCTTGTTGATTTTAATGTTCTTTTTTTTTGTTGGTTTATTTCATTTTGTTTAACAGTTGCACCAAATAAGAATGAACAAGTGATATTCCATCATCTATCTAAAATCATGCAATGAAAACAATAGAACTTAACATTTTCTGCAAAAAAAAAGAATACATTTGTGCTCACCATCAATTGAAAGAGAACAATTTGACACACTTTTTTTTCTATGTGTTCCTAAAGCACAAAACAATTGAATCTAACAATAACAATAATGTTGTGACTTTTTTAAATATTTCTCCTTAAGGGGGACCAAAAATTTTATCACAAAACAAACCTGTCGTTTATTTTTTTTTTATGTCATTGATGAATTAGGCCTAGCTAAACATCATGCAAAAAATCTTAAAGATTTGAACCGTTGTTAAGAAAGATATGGCCACCTACATATGGTATGGGTAGAGGGGTGTCTAAGATATAGAGAGCAAAATTGACTATGATTGGTCAAATATTTTAAGAAATAAACGTTCTTAAAAAAAATATGCGTCGTTTATTTTATTTTTTTAAACTAACCATTTGTCGTGCAATACCAGTCTGTTATTCTTGCAAAAATTGATAACAATGTAACCGCCAGATTGTTTTTTTTTATTCAAGCTTAAAATATACCCCAACCCTCAAAAATGAAGAGCAAGTTCCCTTATGATAGTACATGCCAAAGTAATTAATTACATCACAATTACATTGATTTTCAAATACAATTAATTACATTACAATTACATTACCAATGTAATTAATTACTTACCAAATACGTTTATCCAAAAGAGCTGTATTATATAAGACAAAATCATAAAAATAAAAACACGCCAGAATGAAACTTTTTATAGTGAGAACATTTGTACAAGTTCTAATTTCTAACCTCATTCTAACATTTACTCTTCCTTAGATTTTCAATGCTGATTATTTGGTTGCATTTTTTTTTATGAAAAAAAAACGTTTTGTAATGATATATAGATAGATACAAATGAAAACATGTTTTTTTATATTCTTAAGATTTATTTAGATGTTTTAAAAAGGTTTTCTTATTTATCTCACGTGAGTCATAAAACTTAAACTAACTTTCAAGCTTCCATTTATTACAGAAGAGTAATGATAGCATTTTGCTTTTATTACCTATCCAAAATTGTCTTTTGGCAAGTCAGAATTGTCTAGTATATTTGACCCCATTCTTTTATCGTATGTGCTGACTGATATATTAAAAATTTTGTAGAATGAGTTTAAATAATAACCATTTGAACATATTTTAACATGTAAAGATGATGGTTTAAAAGAAAAATTGGGGCATTTTCATAGAGGAACATTCTTTTTAAATTAGTTTGAACAGTGAAAAGAAATATCTTGAGGCTACGATTATTGTTAATTGTTAGAACAACATATTAAAAAATTATATGTCAATCATGTCAATAAATTTTTATTGTTCATAATTTCTAGATGTTTAATGCATGTGAAAAAAATTAATTGATGAATTAAATACAAATAAGGATTATACTACTTGCTATAATGATTCATAAAGTATTATTATTAAGGAATGTTATTTTTTTTTCAACACATAAAAAAAGTTTATACAGTATTTAAAAAAATCTAAGTACCAATCATACGATATTTGATTGCATCTCAGAAAAGCACAAAATGTTGGGTTTTTTTTTTAATTTCCTAGCAAATATCTAAATGTGATTCATAATTACATGGCAAAAAGTCAATGTAATTAATTACTTTCAATTACATTACATGTAATTGTAAATATGCTCAATTACACATTACATTGAATTACTTTCAAATTTGTAATTAATTACAGCTAATTACAATTACGTGTTGAATTACCTCAGGTCTGATATATGGGCCATAATTGTTTTTCTTTTGATCTAGACCTTAGATATTTGGCATGTGGATGTATCATCATGAGGTTAAGTGTCTGGTACCCTTATGGCCTCCTAGTGACATTCAAATTTGACCTCACGATCAACTTAATGTATTTTCTTGCAAGAAACACGACCAGGCCATAACGTTTTTGTCTTTTGACCTAGGCTTTACATCTATGTCATGTGGATGTATCATCTTGAGGTGATGTGCCCGCTTACCATTATAACCTTCATGTGACCTTGTAAACGGTTAATGTTTAATCGATTTTCATAGTGTCAAGTGTTATTGATTGCCAAACTTTTAATCCAATTTTATCGTAGTTTGATATTATTTAAATGCAGTTCATTTGGCATGTGGATGTATCATCATGATGTTAAGTGTCTGGTACCCTGGTGACCTTCTAGTGACATTTTAATTTGCCCTCACGGTCAATTTAATGTATTTTCTTGCAAGAAAAACGACCAGGCCATGACTTTTTCGTCTTTTGACCTAGGTTTTTCATCTATGTCATGTGGATGTATCATCTTGAGGAGGTGTGCCTGCTGACCATTATAACCTTCATGTGACCTTGTAAACAGTTATTGTTTAATCGATTTTCATAGTGTCAAGTGTTTTTGATTGCAAAACTTTTAATCCAATTTTATCGCAGTTTGGTATTTTTGAAATGCAGTTCATTTCTGTTTAAATAATTTAACTAAAAGAAGTTTTTATTGTGGTAAAAAATATTAAAAAACAAATGACTCTCTTGTAGTTTTAACTCTGGTGATTCAGAAGCACGTTGCTGAAGTCTGGAATTTTTCTCTATAAGTAGTGCCGAAGTCTACAAATATCTCTTCATTAATTGAAAAACAATTAAAAATCATTACTTCATAACTAAACAATATGCCGGCAATTAGTAAATACTTGACCGCATCTTTATTCTGACTTTGCTACTTTTTGAGATTTCAACAGGCTTGTCCGCTGGGAGAAAATGTAAAGGCCGTGGGTGGTCAGGGCGGAAAACAAGCCTGATCGGACGTGCAGCCGACCAAAAGAAGGGGGAATAAAAACATTCTTCTAAAACAATTACACCCAGAATTTAATTGAATGCATGTACTTAACTAAAACATATACAATTTTATACTCCGTCTTAAAAGAGCAGGACATAGGATTATTTATGTCCATCTCTTTAATCGGACGTGCAGCCGACCAAAAGAGGGGGGAATAAAAACATTCTTCTAAAACAATTACACCCAGAATTTAATTGAATGCATGTACTTAACTAAAACATATACAATTTTATACTCCGTCTTAAAAGAGCAGGACATAGGATTATTTATGTCCATCTCTTTAATCGTTAAATCGCTGTCAAATACTAGTTTTAAAAACGTTTTAACTATCTGAATAATTCAAAGAATTATACAACACAAATTAAGTTTTTTTTTTTTTTTTTCGATATCGATTTAAGTATAATTTTTCATCATTTTTTATGAGAAAACTTCCGGCAAACAGAAAAAAAATAGCCAAACATCATGCCGATGCCGATGAGATTCGGATTTTTTTCGTTATAGACTCAACGTGGAATTGTTTGTTATTTCTAAATTCATATATTCATAAAAAAAAATTTGTTTGCCTCCAAATCAAATAAAAAAGTTATGTACAGTCATATTTTGGGACAATTTGCCAACTTCATAGTGTTCTTTTTAATTATAATTGAACGAAAATTTAATTAAGATA